AACATGACACCCAGGAAAAAGAAGAAAAAAAAAAAAAAAAAAAAAAAAAAGATGGCAGAGATGATCATACCTAGACTGCTGCAATCAGAATACATTTTTCTGGAACAGGTTCTCTGACCAAGTTATGTTCCAGAAGTGGTAAACTACAGTATGGCAACAGGTATAGCTCAAAATTTAGGTACAACTTGCATTAACCAGGTTTACACATGAATCACTAACCAAACACTAAGCGCACCACAGAAAGGTGGGGGTGTTTTCCCCCCACCCTCTAAACTCCAAAAACAAGGCATCCATCATAGTTCGTAGTGTATTTATGTTGTGATGAAAAAGATGGTTTTACATCAGCAATATACATAACTGATATTTAGAAATCCAATGAATACAATCTCTATTGTGTTCAAAGGAAAACAAAGTATTTAGGTCCACTAGGAGACTGGATCACACTCATAAGCAAGTTTTAAGCAAATGTTTTTCCCTGGTTAAAGTTCCATCCAGTTCAGCCTGCAAAGTCACAAAGTGGCAAAAGAACAACTCCTCTTATGCCTACAGGGATACAGACTACTTCTCCCTGTTCCTCTGCCAGAGGACAAAAGTAATCTGATCATTTTTCATGCACTACTTGTATGTCTGTGTAAAATTAAAGCACTGTCAGTTTATAAACACAGTTTTAGAACGTGAGTTTTCTAATTCCTGTTAAAAGGAACTACCAGACAAAAGTCCCTTTTCATCACTTAACAGCTTTTATCATTAATTAAGCATAGATCCGTTGCTGAAAAAACTACCATTTGTTTTTATAAAACTGAAACCAGGTATAGTATACATCTAGAGTCGTTTGTTATCAATTCTGAAACTGGCATATGTCATTTCTTCTCTAAGTAGTTCCAGACCCTGATTATCTTAGTCCCACACCTTTGTGTGTTACTTTTCCAGTTCTGCTGTATTGTTTCTAAGGTAGAATCACCTGCATCTAGACACAAACATGGCACTGCTTCATACAGCAGCATGATAAAGCTTTTGTATTTGTTCTTTATTTGCTTTCTACTGTTTCAAACACTATTCACCTGGTATTTTCATAAAATAGTCCACAGCAATTCAAATATTCAAACCCAATATGCATTAGTTAAGGTTTTTCTTTACACATAATACTTTAACACCAGCCTTTATATGTGATTTTATTTCCCATTTACTATAAGGAGATCCTTCTGCAACCTGCTGCAGAGAGACTTAGAAAACTGCTAAGAGTTTTTGTTTTGACAAATTGTCTATTAGTCCCCTTGCCTCGATTAGTTTTTTTAAAAATATGATGCACCCCACCAAAGGCCTCCCTCCACTGGGGGATGACTCATCACTTATTTTATCTGTTCATCAGCTTTTCAAAATAGCTATTAAACCACAGCAGGACCTTTATTGTATCAGAATATCATATGATAGGAAGAGTCCTTAGCAAATAACATTTTCAAAATGCAGCTGACAAGGTGATATACACAGACCACATCATTCTTATCCACATACTCATGCACCTATAATTTCTAAGGTATG